AGTGTGTGTGTGAAGATGTGAATGTGTGTGAAGATGTGTGTGAGTGTGTGTGAAGATGTGTGTGAGTGTGTGTGAAAATGTATGTGAGTGTAAGTGTGTTTGTGAAGATGTGAGTGTGTGTGAAGATGTGTGTGAGTGTGTGTGAAAATGTATGTGAGTGTAAGTGTGTGTGTGTGAAGATGTGAGTGTGTGTGAAGATGTGTGTGAGTGTGTGTGAAAATGTATGTGAGTGTAAGTGTGTGTGTGAAGATGTGAGTGTTGTGTGAAGATGTGTGTGTGAAAATGTGTGTGAGTGTGTGTAAATGTGTGTGTGAAGATGTGTCTGTGAAGATGTGTGTATGAAGATGTGTGTGAGTGTGTTGTGAAGATGTGTGTGTGTGTGAAGATGTGAGTGTATATGAAGATGTGTGTGAGTGTGTGTGTATAGGTGTGTGTGTGAAGATGGGAGTCTATATGAAGATGTGTGTGAGTGTGTTGTGAAGATGTGTATGTTTGTGTGTGTGTGTGTGATATGTGTGAGCACATGTGTCATGCCATGTGGCAGTCCAAGGAAAACTTCATAGAACTGGGTTTCTATTTCCACCTTTACTTGAGGTTCAGGGGTCAAACCAGGTTGCCAGACTTGCAAGCACCTTTACTCACTGGGCCATCTCACCAGCCCTTTTAACTTTTTAAACAAGCAGAATTGTCTTTTGAAAAGACCTTGTTCTCAGAGTCTCGGGATATACACTCATCAAGTGGAAGCAACTGACGTGGCAGAGAAAAGTCCTGTTCCAGGTCTCTGTCACTTCTCTCGGGGCTCCTCAGGGTTCGGAGCCACCAGGTGTCAAGCACAGAGTGGCCACACCTACAGATCCCCACACCCTGCCAACCCCAACATGAGTCCACTGATTGACTGGCCTCTGTGCTCACACACGGAATGCCCTAGTAAATATTTGTGGAAGACCGAGAGTGTAGCTACATTGACTCAAGCCTTGGTGTTTACAAGCCTGCTCCTGTGCTGAAAGGCCATGTTTAGCTCACTGTTTGTGGGGGGGCACAGTGTCGGTGCAGACCTGTCCTCCGAGGACAAGGAGGGTTCTGGCAAGAGTTTCCAGGGATCATTGAGCACGCATTCTTGTGCCTTCCATCTCCCAGGCCCTTCCGGAGCATAGAAACCCAAGGCTCACCCTGCAAGCTTCATTCCTGCCCTTACTTGGTAACTGAGCTGCAATCTAGCCTAGAGACCCTCAGTGGCTTCCCTTCCACTCCCCTCTCTGTGCCTCAAGCAAACACTTGAGAAAGCTAATAAAGACAGTCCCTGCAGGGAATGGGGAAGTTTTTGAGTGACCCAGGGAGAGAGAGCCCTGGTTGTGTGCAGAAATGACCAGTCTGCCCTACCTTCTTTGAAAATGATGATGGTATCTACCCTAAATTCTTGGGATCCTACTTCCAATCCCCTCATCCTCCAGCACAGACCTGCCAAGTTTAGCGCAAGAGAACAGGCCTGGTCCCCTCTGGGAAGTTCGATTGGGGGGGGGGGTCAGGGGGAGGAGTGGAGCTGGGCCTGGCTGGGCCTCCAGGTTGGCCTGCCCTAGCCCCAGGGTTTAATAAACTCCGAGAGGGGTTTTCAAAGGCCACTTGATCTTCCCCATCAGGCAGCTCCTGTCTCCCTTTCAGAGCCGCAGGACTGGAAAGAAAAAACGCTCAATGAACAAGGAGGCCAGAGAAAGCTGAGCCGCGGGGCACCTTCTATGAATTTCTGACGAGCACAAGGCCCTGACTCCTGGGTCCCAGCCCAGTGCAGCCAGGGATGTTAGTTTAAGTCATTTCGCACGGTTCACTGGCTCTCTGAGAGCGGCTTGTCTCCAGCCTGGGCCTCACTAACAAGCTCTTTTTACTGAGGGTTTCTCTGAGCAGAGACCTCAAACAATAGCAGCTTTCAAAGGGCTTGGCCCTCCTCTGGCAGCTTCCCTCCCAGCCCCAGGCTCCTGCCACTAGCTCGCTGGCCCACCTGACAGTTCAGATCCAAGGCCTGACCAGCAGAAAGGGTCCTGCTCTTCCCTCCTTTCCTTCTTCCCTCTTTGCTCCCTTCCTTCCGTTCTCCCTCTTCCTCCCTCCCTTCCTCCCTCCCTCCCTCCCTCCTTCCCTCCCTCCCTCCCTTCCTTCTTTCCTTTCTTCCTTCTTTCTTCTCCCCTCCCACCCATCTTTCCCTCCTTCCCCACTGACCTTGCTCTTTCTGCCTGAGACTGTACAGGGTGAGCATCTGGGCTCTCCAGAGCTGGCTACTTGAACCCAGTGTGCAGGGCAGCACCAATCAAGAGCAGCTCGGCCTGACCGTCTAAATTTACCAGACTCCTCAGCTCTCCCAAATTCTGAATGGTTCCTCTTGCATTAACCAGGGGTAGCTCCGGCTTCCTCCACGGAGGGCCCTCCAGGCCTGTCAGATGGATGGAGGAGGCGGAAGCTGGCACAAGCATCAGCAATACAGTCCTCTGGCACGGACCCACAACCTTACGCTTCTTCAGTTAAGGGCTCTCCACTTTGTACAGTCTAGCTGCTTGCTCTCTGTTGGGCTCCCCTCAGCTCAGAGAGGAGACGTGTCTCTTCTCCTTTCTACCTCTGGTCTTCTCGCCAGGGCCATTCTAACCGTCCTCAGAAGAGACTCCAGGGAAAGGAAGCTAACTAACCAGCAAGTGGCAGTTATCCCCCTGTTAAGACTAGAACAAGGGCTCAAACCAACAAAATCCATACTGAGATAGGACCAAGGCTTCCACTACTGAGAGCCTGTCTTTAACATCTCAACTTTTGGATAGTGACTTTTGATCTAGGGAACTCTGAAAGGCTTTGAGCCGCCATTCCACGATCATTCCAGGGAGGGAGAAATCCCTAGCTCCCTCCTAAGGCACCTGTTGACACTTAAAGATCCCCTGGCCAGTGACCAAGACCCCACGCCATAGGCCTTTCACCCTTTAGAGGCTAAGCTACCCAGGTGTCTTGAAAACTGTTTAAAGGAAGCCCAATTGTATACCTGCACCTCACACCACCCAACTGCCCTGCCCTGACTTTTACCAGGAAACAGAAACTCATTGACAAGACAAAGGATGCTCACTGGGATAAGATGCAGGTCCCAGCTGGGCAGGAGAGCACCAGGCCTGGGCAGGGCTGTCCTGTCCTCCTGCGTTGCTTCCTTCTGCTCTTTCTACAGGTGCTATTCTCAGTCCAGGCCGTTCAACAGGTTAGTCTCCTGCTGTCCTACAGTGTAGTCCTCTGTTTGACTTCTGAAGCATGCAGGCTCAAATTCTCCCACCAGACCCTCAACTAAAGCAGGATTTCTGGGGTAAAACCACCCTAAGTGCCAGGTGGGAATCACACCGCCTGATGACTGAGAACGGCTGTCCTCGTCATTCCCAGAGTGCAGCAGTAACTGACAATCTGCCCATGTGCTTAGAGCTGCTTTAGTTCTTGTCTGGGGACGGTCCCCCAGATCAACTGGAACGTGCACGGGCTTCTCCCAAGGACCTGAGAGAAGTCCTGGAAACTCCAGGTTCACGTCTGTGAATTCCTTTATCTAATGTGCGTTCCTAAACCACTTCCCACTCCCACCACCCTAGCGTAAGAGCGTAAGCCTCAAAGCCTTACAAGGTGGGGAGGTGACATGTCCCAGAGTCGGGACCCATGATCACTCCTGAATGTCTCTAAGACTGGGCTGCTCCTCCGTTTCTCCAACATTCCCCACCCCTTGCAGTCAGATATTTGCACAGTACCAGCAGTGACATCGTTAGCTCTCACAATGATCATTTCTGAGACCAAATTTCGATGACCTGTTGTGACCAGTGGCATAGCCAGTTCCAGAAACACAACATGTTCCAGGCTCACTGATATAGACAAAACCCAGTCTATGTTGGGAAGAGTGAGTTCCCAGATGTCAGACTGTAGGCTAGGCCAAACAGAAAGTCAGGTCCTGACTAATCAGTTACCCTTCGTATCAAATCAGATTTGGGTTCAATTCTTGGCCTACTGTAAACTGAGAGATGGGGACGCCTAAAACTCCTCTGCCATGAAGAGATAAGGCAGTTTTCCTGGGCAAAGTGAGTGTCAAGGCACAGTTTGAGATGTTGCTTGTAGGGCAATATGGAGGCAGAGGCAACTTGACCCAGGCAGGGTCAGAGTTTGAGCCGCCTAGTATTATGGGTCATGCATGGATCACGTCAAGTACTTCCAAGATAGGCCTGTCTCTGCTGCAGGTCAGGGACGACACCCTTGCCCACCAGGCTTTTGGGAGCATGTTTTCCACCCAGCATCACCCACTGCTGGCACTGGATACGCGCTCTGCCATGCACTGCCGCCCCTCACTCCTTGGTGAGGGTAGCAGGACTGGGCAGGGAGGCAGAGGGGAAGAACAGGATGTGGGCGGAGGGCCTCTCCTCTCCCTCACTCCCTGTAGCCCTGGGCAACTCAGGGGGAAG